TTTTTCGTATACAATGATATAATATCATTGGATTCAAATTTAATTCCATCCATTACAGTAACCCACTTGTAACCTACTGTACAGCAGAGCGACATACACGACTTACCCGCTTTTTAGTTTCAAATATAGTATTTTAAACCTATAACACATTAACGACTTATCATAATTAGTAATTACAATTATTTGCTTGTAAGTAGAGGATGAGGATCTTTGTTTAAATATTGAAAATTTTATAATTTTTTAACTGCAAAATAATTTAAACATTTTTGAGATAATGATCAATTTTGTATTTTTGTCATAATTTGTACTTTAAATACTTATCATAATAGTTGTGCCTATGGATCTTAAATAAATTTTAATATATTTTATAGCCGTAAGTGGGGAAAATGGCTCTTCATAGTTAGTGTTGACCTAGCCACAGAAGGGGAAAATGACAAATTAAATAAAAAAATTCTTCCTAAAGATAACTTACCAGACGCTCTAAACTTTGACCAAATATAAGTCATATTATAAAGTATAGGTAATTCCGTAATTCTATTTAACGACTTGGTTATATGGAAGTTTCACTGTAGATATTATAAATATTGCCCATATTGTTATGGCGGTAAATTAAAAACTTTATAATTAAATAATAATTATGTTTATTATCTACACAATTAAATGTATTTTGTGAAAGGTCGTTTTGTACCTAGCTTATACAATAAATTAAAAATTATTCATTAAATTATTTTTATTTTTGAAACATACCACAAACCAACACCGTTTTTACGTAATACTCATTTTTCCTTTGTACTCTTCTATCCACCTATTTAGATTCCTTTGTCTAATCGTGAATGTTTTAGAATTATTTATTGCTTACTAAATGTCTATATGCTTACTGCTTAGTAATCTTTAACTAATATTTAAGCATTCAATTTTTATTGTGTGTGTGTGTGTGTTAGTAGCCAGGTGTATTTTTTGAATTTTTTTACGATGCTTAATATTGTATATTACTATATTATACTACAAACTTTGTAGATATTATTTAATAAAAGTATTAAAATACCCTCAACAAAATAATTTTGCCGCCATAAAAATATGGGCCAATCAGAACCACTATACTCACAATTCTAATTGGTTTTGAAATCATGCCACCGGCTTTTTGTTATCATTACAGTTATCTTTATCACATTAGTGCAGACGTAGAGTAATATTATGAGCACGTTGAGCACAGCACACATTATTACATTAATTAATTTAACAGGTTTGTGTAGAATCAAATTTTAAACGCAGATTTCTATACTTAGCTTAGTAAAGACGTCTGTATAGTCTTGTGCGTTTGAGATTTTACAAAAATATAAATTCAGTATTTCTATAAAAGTATCAACCATGTTTCAATGTTTGACCTTTGAGAAAATTTGAGATTTTTTTAAAACGCTTTATGATTATATAAAATATTTAAATTCTTAAATTGTTCATTCGTATTGTAGTTGTGGAGTTAGATTATGATCACTGGTTTCTTAACTTTTGACTGTCATTGTGATGAATGCAAAATTCTATCGGCTAGGAGTAAATGTCGCTGTAACACATTCAAGACTGAAGTCAACAATCTATGCACTCTCTTCGGGTAAATTTTCTACTGTTTTTTACATACTTATTTTAATTTTGACTTTTCATGATTTATTACATTTTGAATTATTTGTTATATGTTGAATGAATATTAAGTTGATAATATTTTACCTATCCTGTAATAGTTATGCAATATCTATCTACCTAGGAATATTTTTTATTATTAAAAATAAGAAGGTACAATATTTTACCATTGATTATATTGATTTAAAACTTTAAAAATACAAACATTTATTAAGTGCTTTGAAATATTGAGAAATTGTAAATGTATCTATTACAAAATATGTTTCATAAATGTTTGTCTAAACTTCATGATTTATTTTAGGTCTTGGAAAATGTGGTGTAGCTGTCATCAGAGTATCTGGTCCATGTGCATCTGACGCTATATTAAATATGACCCATTTAAAATATTTACCAAAACCTAGAAAAGCTTGTTTGAACAAAATTATAGATCCAACTACTAAAGAACAATTAGACAATGGATTATTACTATGGTTTCCAGGTATTGTATTATATTTTGGACTAAATTTTTTTTATTTAATTAAATTTTTTATATTTAGGCCCTAAAAGTTTCACAGGCGAAGATTGCTGTGAATTTCAAGTACATGGCGGTAGGGCTGTTGTCACTGCAGTGCTTCATGGTTTATCTAAACTACCAGATTTTCGAACCGCCGACCCCGGTAGGTAAACTGTTAAAACTAGAACTGATTTTAAAGCATTATAAATAACCAATGAGTTATGACATACATATAACTGTTTGAAAAACCACAGATATAAATAAAAATAGAAGCATGACCAAAAATTTACTTTTCAGACAAAACTTTGAGTTTTAAATTACATTTACGAGTTTCTATGGTCAATATTATAGTTATGAAATCAAAGCCCTAGTTATGACTATATTCCCATTTGTAAACCAATTCAATTTGGTTTTTTTAACCCACACATAATGCATTTTTTTTTTTTTTTTATTGAACATATTAACATCGACAGCAAAGGCCATTAGTTACACTTATTTACAATAATGATATAATATAATATGTACTGATACAATGGTAAGTTATTTAATTAGGATAAAACATTTTTTTTTATATAAGATTGAACAATTTTGTTTTTCTTAAAAATGTATTATGTTTAGGTTTTTTTCATGAATAGGTCTGAGTGTGAAGTCGAGGTTGTATGATATCTTATGTTCGGCTCGTTTTAATGCATTTCTAACTCAATGAAAATGTTATTTTCCTCATTTATATATTTTTTATTAAATGATTTATAATAATTACATTTTATTATTACGCACAGGAGAATTCACCAAACGTTCGTTTTATAATAACAAAATGGATTTAACTGAAGTAGAAGGTTTGGCCGATCTTATAGAAGCTGATACTGAGCTTCAAAGAAAGCAAGCACTGATGCAGTTGGAAGGTTCTTTGAGACAACTCTACAGTTCTTGGAGACAATATCTTTTAGAAGCATGTTATTCATTAATTTGTGTTTAGCAATATTGTAATGTATCAAAGTTTCTACAATTTTAGAATTTAGCCTATGTCGAAGCTTATATAGATTTCAGTGAAACAGATAATATTGAAGAATTGATATTAGCGAATGTTAAAGAAAATCTAGAAAAACTTGCTAAAGAGATTGAAGTGAATTGAAAAAATTGTTAGAAATCAACTGTATTATTAATTTTACATATTAAATTTATAGAACCACTTAATGGACAACAGGTCAGGTGAACTTTTACGTGATGGAGTCAAAGTGGCAATAATCGGAGCACCAAACACTGGAAAGAGTAGCCTCTTGAATTCATTTTGTAATTATATTATTTAATTAAGTGATCTTATAATATACAATAAAACAAACTGTTTTATTCATTTAGGTAGTAGAGAAGCGGCTATAGTAACAGAGTTGCCTGGTACTACTAGAGATCCAATTCAGATTCCACTAGAAGTGTCTGGTTACTCTGTACTTTTGATTGACACTGCTGGGATTCGTTCACAAACTGTAGATTTGATTGAAGACTTGGGAATAAAGAAATCTAAAGTCCAGGCTCAAAGTGCCGACATGATGATTTTGGTAGTTGATGCTCAATATCTCCTTGATGTAGACAATATGGATTTGTGGCTTCAAAAACATGTAGACGATTTGAAAGTTAGATGTGATAAATGTCTAGTATATGTGAATAAAATTGACCTTGTGTCAGACGACCAAGTTATTAGACTTAAAAAAATATCACTAAATTCTAATTGGACTGTATGTTTTGGTTCATGTAAAGTGAATGAAGGTTTGGTGGATATGATGAGAACGTTTGAATATTGTTTGCAAAAGTTGTAAGTATATTGTGATTTAATTGTACAGCGTGCACGTTTCATTGTAATTTATTATTTTAATTTTGTGAAGATGTGGAAATCCGAATTTTGAACATCCTCGATGTAGTCAAGCAAGACATAGATATTGTCTCTTAAAAGCATTAAATAATGTCCAGACGTATCTTGAAATTTCCAAGTCCGACGACAATATTGATGTTGCTGCACAGCATTTACGTAAGGCATCATTTCATGTAGGTAAAATTACAGGACACGTATCAACTGAAGAAGTACTCAACATAATATTTTCAAAATTTTGTATTGGTAAATAATAATATAATAATTGATTAATGTATTAATGTATTTTCTATATTACAGTTTTAGCTTAGACATTTTTATCTTCAGTATCAATTTATATATAAGTATGTTCTTATTATTAGTATAAATCTATACTTGTGATCTGTTAATACAACGGCAATAATTACTAATTAAGAACTTTGCTATATTGTTGGTGGTACAGTTAAGTTATCCACTCAAATATTAGAATCTGATAATTGTCCTTACAAACATAATATAATTGAAATATTATTTAAATCTTGCGATTMGTCAAATAATTTCAGCCGTCAACATTTAAGATGAGTTGCATTGCCAGAAGTTATTAAAGAAATAAGAGGAAGGATATTAAACAAATGTGATGTTTAGACTAAGGCATGCATAACATATTACAAGCCAAGATCTATATTCACCATATCTTATACTAAACTAGGATAAAGTACCATTTCCTATTAGATAACTCTCAAATTAACAAACTTTAGTTTTAACTAATAGTCATTTAAGAAATGGATTTTATTGTAAATTTTAATGACATAATTTAACCTTATTGTAATATTTGATATCTCATTGGATATAATTATGTGTCATACATGTTTGAAATTTTAAAATTAGAATCACCCTGCTAATATTGAAACTTAAGAGTAACAACTTATGTAGCATAATTGCATAATATGTATGAATAAAACTAAAGTAAAGATATTTTACTACCTGTTGCAACACACAAACATTAGAATTAAAAACTAGATTAAGAATATTTTTATGTGATTTGTAACAAAATATATCATTATTTATCATATTTTTTTTTGGAACCCAAAGGTTATCAGTGCCGTAGCTAGGCACTGGCAATAAGAGAGCATTTGTCAGGGTTGCTATACTGCTATTTCATTGAGTACACTGCCACTCAATGAAATAGCAAATATTTTAAATATTTAAATATTCAAATACTCTCTTTCAGGCAGTGTTAACTCAAGTATTATAATTTACAAAAAAATAAAAATAAAAATGAAGAGAAAGAGCGTTTATTATTTTTAAATAATGCGCATTTTATAGAAGTGGAAAATTTGGACGAGGGGGCGCAAATTTAGTTTTCTGCCAGAAGCGCGCTTCAGCTTTTCAGGCACTTGCTTACGTTCCTGAAGGTTATATAGGTACCTAATAAATGAAAAATATATCATAGATGGTGAATTAATGAAAAAGTGTTACATAGGTATCAGGGTTTATTATAGGTACCTAATAAATGAAAAATATCATAGATGGTGAATTTATGAAAAAGTGTTACATAGGTATCAGCCATCAGGGTTTACTTTAGATACGATTGATATGTGCGACGGCACAGATGCGCCAAAATGAAGGTAGCGCACCGTTACCTGTTTTATGTTTAAAAAGAGAACGAAAAGCTCCGAAATTATACTTGCACTATGGGTACTGAAAAAGCTAGAGTTGGCCCTGATAGGTATTATTATAGTGGAATTTAAGGATCCTGTATATAACCTAATGATTAGGTAGGTCCTAATCTATTCACCTGTGCAAGACACTGAGAAGTCGAAAATGAATTTACTTGTTACTCTAACGGTATAGTTATGTATGCCTGACGATTCTTTAGATTTCGGAGTAGTTTGTTATAAATAGAATACAAAAGTAGTGAGGCTTATATTATTAAAGCTACCTATATTATAAGGTACACATCATAAAAAACTGAGGGAATTGTTAAATATTATTTCTACCCCCTTTCTTCTCACCACACACTAACACTAAGTGGTTACGTCGATGCTGAAAAAAATACACATATAAATAAAATAATAAACTATTGATACGATTCGATCTCGTCTGCCATCTGCTTTAATTATTTATATACACGATCTGATTTAAATCAATAACACAATAAGTAATCATAACAATTAAAAATATAATATGAGATTTATAGGTCGACGATGTTTGGCGTGGTTCGTCGTTCATCGATGCTAATAACGTAGAGGAAGTCGAGTACTCAAGTGCAGCGTGTATATACAAAGACTCCGGTTTCACGAGTTGCTGAACGTGACAAATAGTTACATTATATATTTATATAATTGTTTATTACAGATATTAAGAACGAGTTGCCACTTTTCATTAAAAATATCTATTCTAAAAAGTGTCGTTGGAGCACGCGGAGCGCAGTAAAGCTTGTCGCTGGCGTTGAAAACCCCGAAAATCAAAGTGTCATCGTCACGGTGATAGATACAATCATTGATTATAAATACTAGTATTTATAATCAATTATACCTAAAATGTAGGAATAATTAATAATAATGTATAATATCGACGCGGCCCGGTATTTTTCATTTAGCCGCAACAAATATTGTAACGATGTGAGTATAATAAAATAATGTTTTCGTCCATTTCCAGTAGTCGACATTTGGCGTTTTCTTTTTTTTTAATATCATACAATTACACGAAGATGGTTATAATATTGTTATTATTATTGCTATTGACAGGTTTAACACATTTTGCATTGGGCGCGTCGATGGGTATATATATTATTATAGTTGGTATGGTTGAGACACGGTTAGGGCGATTGGCATCTCGTCCACCTCCGTGATTCAAATTCAATAGATTTGAATCGTTTTCTCGAAGAGTGCATGTTCGACGTGTTTCTGTCGATAAGGTTTAGACACGTACAGCGCTTCGAGAAACACTTGTTGGCCAGTCGCTTTCTCGAATGATCGAAACCATAGTACGAATCCAATGATAATGTCTTCTACATGACAAAAATAAAGCATCGATTAAGCAGGCATCTAACTACCACTGTATTGCGGATATTTATTAATATTATGGTGATTAGGTATAGGCAGCTAGATGTGGAGGGATAAAGAGGATAATACTTCGGGTATTTTGTCCGGCAACATCCTGTGTTTGACATTATATGTAATAGATTTTATAAAGAAATAGGTATTGGGTGGCCACTCGTATTGTACGGATGTCGAGCAGTGGACAATAAAATATAACACATGTCGAGTGCAATAAAGATCAGGACGCCAATAAAGTAGATTCGTAATTTGTCGAGTAACTAATTTCTGTATAATAATTTTCTTATGGGGTAGCGAATCAATGCCAATTATATATATACTGAAGGATAATAGGTTAAGTCATATTATGAGGGAGCAGACTTGATGGCGTCATTGAGAGACGACAACGACTATGAATGTAGATGGTAAGATATGTAGAGGATGATTGAAGAAAATGATAAGAGATGAAGACACAATAGAGAGAATGGCACAAAAATAGTAGCTTAGGTGAGTAAAAAAGAAGTGGAGGACATCGCTATGGAGATATTGGACAAATATAGCCAACACCAGATAGTTGAGGGCGAATGATGAAGAAAAATATCGATTGACAGTTATAGGTAATAACACTTAATACGATTTCGAAAATCCTGATTTGGTTCAAGTCTAGGTTTGTAAAATTACTATCTACAATACAAATTAAATGTCAAATGTTAATATAGAATTGAAATTAAAAAAAAAAATTACCTTCTTTTCTAGTTTTTGCTATGTAACATTGGAAACTTGGATTTTGAGATTCAAATCCATCCCTCTTAAAAGCTAAAAATACATAGGTAATATTATAATAGTGACGATATAATATGTTATAATTAATTAGGAGATTGTCTTAATCAACAAAATGCTTATTCGTTTTAATTGATCGTTGAAGATATAATTTTACTAAGCATAAATGTATAATATAAGCATAAATTATTTGTTTAATCATTTCACGAAGATTGGAACTTGAAAGTGGGGTTTTTTCGTTCCTACCAAGAGCTATTTTTTTTTTCTATAAAGATTTAAAAAAACTTAGAAAACGTATTAGAATTCGTCATAAAGTTGACTTGTAGATATTGAAATAATTAAATCACCTTTTTCTTAAAAAAAAAATAAACAAAAATAATAATTGTAGGTACTTAATAATATTCTTTGTTGTACGTATTGGCCGAGTTCAACTGCATTATAAAATTTATAATGTTCCAACTTGTGTATATTTTAGTATTTAAATATCACTCACTGTCTTTATTTAACTGTCTGCAGCTCGGTATACCGTATTCAGAATAATATTCCTAAAAAAACGAAAAATAATTAGGTTTAATTTTTAAAAATCAAAATAATATCATGCACAATAAGTACGTATACAACATAATATACAGTGGAGGCAATACCCAGCTTTTTAAAATTTCAATTTTTACCTCTACACTAATTTTGAGCCACTTTGAGCACTTTATATATATATATTTTATTAGATTTTAGTCTTTAGAGACCACGACACTGTCGACACTTCGACAGTAATTATTATACAAATATACCAAACAGGCTTATAAATATAATATATTTTAATAAAGGCATCACTTAGATATAAATGGATTATAGAAATTATCGATCGGTTTGTGCAATAATCACTCAGAACCACTCGCATTCTAAGAGACTCGCCACAGTGATAAGATTGCGTAGGTATAGGTAATATTATGTATAATAATAACACATTGTTCACGCCTATATTTACGCCACTCTAAAGTTAGAGTGAATTATTATAGCATAATAAGCCACTTAAAATTAGTATTATACGTGTATTTTTCCTATAAATCATAATCCGAATTTAAAGATTAAACTTTTACATGCAAATAGCACAGCAGTAGCCTGCCGTAATACTGTCGTACTAGATTATAACGTTTAAATACCTATAAATAGGTACGTCGCGATCAACGAATGTCTTTTGTTATCATTGGTGAACTTGTAAATTGTATTACCTGTATTCTATGGGTACTATTTTTCGTGATATCTAATATAATAATATTACTTAAGTTTACTTAATATGTTATTGCGTAAGTACCTACTTGCCGTTTATTATAAAAACGAACGTCGTCGGTACACAATTATAACGATTTTGACGGATACTGACCGTTTATTGTTCCTTCGTGTATTGGCTGTTTTTATAATATTTCTACCTTATGAGTGGTTCGAGAATACAAATTTTCATCACAAATATGTTATCAAAGGAGAGATGTTATTGAATGTCCGATGACCACAGCGAGTATATTATATAATTTAAATATTATGTTCAATAAAGTTGGTAACCAATGATAATTTCATTAAATGATCAATTGCTTTTATCACAAACTCCACTGTAGGGTCTATTAGTGGAGATACCTAACCGTTGCCAAAATTATAGACGTTTTTAAACGTTTATAATTTCCCAAAAACATTTATAACTAGGTATACAAACAAATAATTTATGGTGATCTCAAATCACTAAAAATAATATATTAACAAATAATAATTTCTAAAATCTAATTAGATAAGTTTAATTAACATATTATTTTGTTGATCTGAACATTGTTGAAGTGTGACATTGCATGTCGTTGACCAATATTGGTCGTAATCTGGCGATTAGTTGCTAACTACTAATCGAAGACACTGCTCCAAATGATCATCATCAGAGAGCGTAGATCGGTTAGGTGATCGCGTGTCCCTAAAAATAAATTCTAATATGATCGACTTTGAAATTGTCCGCGGTCCAGTGGCGCAACTACCGGGGGGGTTGGGAGTGTCAAACACCGGGGCCCCTGGGCCCCAGCCTAAATAAAATAATATATTTCCATATTTGATAATAAGTTTCACAATAAATATAAAAATCATGACATTTTGATAATTAATATTTATATACCTATTTATAATTTATACATAATGATTAGTACAGTGAAATTATTGCATTTATTTTGCATCTTTTTTGTGAATGCTTATATACAGTGATGTAGTCCTAAAAAAAAATCATCGGTAAATGCCTTAATCATTGTAAAAAAAAATTTGGGGCTTATGCCCTACAACCCCCCTCCCCCCAGTCATCCCATCATTATTCAGTACTTGTACAATCCAAAATCTATTTGTCTATATAATATACCTACAATAGAACCTCATAAATTATGATTGATATATTTTAACCTCATTTTTTGAATACGGGTAAACAAGGATCTAAGATAGGTATCTTTAAATCATGGGTAAACGTAAACCCAATCAACTGATCGAGATTCGCTTCTATATTGTTCTATGACAATAGTAAACAATTTACGACGCTTATCTTTTTTTTGTTATTGAATATCAAAATTTAATATATTATACTACCCAATAATATTTCCTAAATAAATTKTATTGCCTAGGTATAATTGGGTAACGTTAATACGTATGGTTCATGCCTTCATGGTCAGTGTACCCGCAAACCACGATTTTCGTACACGCATGACGCATTACCACTGCTTATAAATATGTTTGGTTTCAGACGTTTCAGTGTTAATTCAAATACATTTTCTTTTTCTTAAGTGAAAACAAATTTAAAATACTTTTAACAATATAGTTTTCATCATATTACTCTAAAATATATAAAATATTAAAATGTATAGTATATAAATGACTAGTGTACCTAGTCTTAAAAGTTATAATTTTTATAAGAATATTATGATTTATGTTGTTATTTGGTTGGTAAAACTTTTAATAAATCTATTAACTTAATTTTAATACATGGTATTGATAATGAATAGTAATTACCACTTCCATTTCAGTAAACTGATTAGAAACAGTTGTTACAACTTACAAGTGTATAAGTATAAGTTATATAATTAAATACATTACCTAATTTTTYYCTTTTGGCAATTTATCATTTTATCGACCAAATTTTGTTCACAATAATAAGCATAAATAATTTTAATTAGGGCCCCTTAGTTAAAAGTGACACTAGTGCCCCAGTTAGCCTAGTTGCGCCACTGCCGCGGTCGACGTCGCCCCTGTTATAGAGTAGTAAGTTTAATATTAAATATTTTAATACCTATGTTATATTATATATTATATGTCTTGTACAGTTGTTGTAGTTCGTATGCCTATGTGTCGCTTTGTATATTTATTATTTATATGCGTATTATAAATCAATAATAATAAATTATAATATGTATAATAAAATAAAATATAATAAAATTATTATTATTATAATTGTTTTTTATTAATATTACTACAAATAACAGTATCTATTACATTGTCATACTTAAAATAATTTATCGCAGAATAATTATTATTCTAGGTGTAGCGTGTTACGTATATAGGCATATACACGGCAGATAAAAATGTATATATACAGATGATAAACCCTCTTAAGAGCGGAACGCCACACTCATACGTGTTTTTCAATTTTACATTAAAAATGGATATCATATAGAATATGTACATTCAACCAAAACAATTTCAGTGGATTCAGTGGCGCCCATCGTAAGGTACCAAGTGGTGCAATTGCACTGGTTTCTCGTAGGTCCCGGGGCCTACATGGCTACATACATTCGGGGGCCCCACTCTTGTCTCTTGATCAAACACTATAAATACATAACTATTCATTTGGTCCATCTGAAGACTTAGATCGTTGAATAAAGCGTAGAGTTAGCAAAATATGCAAAATATGCAAACAAATAAATTTGGAGGCCCTATAGTTATAACTGCACTGGTTCGTGGAAAACCTGTGGACGCCACTGAGTGGATTCACCGAGTGTGAAAAGTGGATCAGTGGATTGAACATTTATCTATTATTAAACTTAAAGGCAAGAACATTATCCATTAGTTGTTTACAATATTTTGATTTTCAAGTGAGTTTTTAATTTTTAATAAAATTTTACATAGATATATTTTATAAGTTGCCTTAAAATAAGACACCATTGTAAAAATACATAATAATAACTATAATAATGTTACGAATAATGTATCTATTTTCAAACCAACAATTGTAACTGTATAGGTATACACCTAACCTATACTAGCAACCCCTAACTACGGATGGTCGGATAATATCCGGATATAACTATAATACTCGTGGTAGATATTTCGACGTACGTTTAGAAACCTAAAACCAACAAGAGCACACAGATATCAATACCTATGTTCTTACCTTAAATGCTTTATTAAACCTTAAAGTTTGATAATTGGTCGATTAAATTCTAATTTTTTAGTCAATAACACATTATTACCTATTGGAACTGGTGCATTTTGATGTTTTTAGCAAGACGCGCGGGTACGGCATTGAGATAATAGCGATCACGTAACGGTCGTCGATTATCGTGTGTCGGTTATTATTTCTACTCGTGAACATCGCTTTTCACGATTGGCCGCGGTAGCCGATAAGCCGATAGGCAACACGTGTTGTAGTCGTGCACACGCGTTCATTCAATCACTGTATACATCTATATAGACGTCGTACAATATTGTAATAGTTATAATTTATACATAGGTTGGTAGGTACATTGCTTAAGTCCGATAGATGTCTGCGTATATTAATTTATTATCTACTCATTATAGAAGCGTGTGTTCCTTACAAAAATAGGCTGACACGTGCACAGTGTCAAATGCCAACAATTCGAATCCGGTTTCTTAGCCCAATAACCCGCGGGGCCAAATTCAATATTATCTGTATTATTATTGCAGGTTCTCGACCTTTTCATATCTTCGTCCCACCTGTCCCACCTTTGAGCTTTTTTTAATTGGATATCTTTCATAAATCATTATTATACTTGCATACCATTTTATTTTGTTTGAAACTTCAAAATGACATGTTTATAAAATATCATTAAATGCACAAAAAGAAAATTAAATAATTTTAATATTAATAACGATCTATTCCATTTTTTTAGCGTAAGTACCACCGTACCACTAGTGGTACATGTTATATAGATTGATATGTATTTCATTCGTATAGAGTTATAGATGTATAATTATAGTATGTTTGGGTGCTTTCGATCGTCTTTGTCGGCAGATTGTATAGTAACACAACAGGTTAATAATATCTATAGATTATTATTTGAAATAGGTACATATAAGAAGGTATACGTTGTATTGTATAACAATATGCCTTCATACTCATACAAAATGTCGGTCGAATGTGCATTGGATATATTAAAATAAAATATAAATAACTACGTAATTAACTTACTATTCGTTCGAAATCTAATCAAGACTTTTATGAACGGAATTTACCGGAAAAATCATTTTGATTCAAAATTTGAAATGAACTATAGGTATTATGTATTATTTGATACTTTTCTGTCATTCAAAAAAATTTAAACTGGTAAATATATATATATATTACTTTCAACAATGTTGTAGGCACCTAATAATAAATTACTTCATAATTTTATGTGAAATTTCATAATTAAACTTAACTATTGAGAACACAACACGCACTTGATCCATACCTTCTTCAAATCCATCGGCATTGACACAAAAATTTAATGTAGTTAAGATAAAACTACACTGCTAAAAATATAATGTAAATATACAATATCACTGTAAAATCCACATATACCACAACTGTAACGTAATCTTAATTTAGAACTTAGTTATTTATTTGTTTATTTACTTATTAATCATAATGTAACCACAACCACAGGCTAATGACCTAGCTGTTGAAGCTTTTAATATCAATAAAAAAAAAAACTTAACTATTTTCGAGAAAATATGAGTAATATTTAAAATAATCATCTTGATACCTTATATATTATGACGTACGAGTATGGCTGGGGTTGAAAATCCAGAATCGGTGATTTGATCAAGGACAGACGTGACTGAAATATCAAGTAGATATTTGGGGTGGCCACTGACTTTCACTTGCATTTTAATTTTAAATGTTATCACTTAAAATGTATAGCAGACTCTTTTAATGTTAGTAATATTATTAATATACGGTGACGATAATAATTAATAATAATTTTGAGTGCTTTACAATAAGTAATGAGTTATGACATAATTCGTCGTAGGACCGAACCAAATGGACTAATATTTCCATCCGGGACGTATTGAAAGCCATAAAACGAAGTACAGGGTGAGTGACCAATCACAGTTTTTATTGATTACATATAATTCACATGTCACATTAGTACATTTTACATAATATTGTGTATGTGCTATCCAGTATCCAGACTACTTAGTGACGTTTAACTATTCACTTTTTTGTTTTTTCTACCTTACAAACTACCTAATCAATAATGCTTATGTATGTATACAAAGCAAGATATTAAAAAAATATACAAAAAAATATTTTAAATTAAAATGGATACTTTTAGTGGGCTATTGCCTATTATTATTGTTAAATTTTAAATTTTAAATAAAAAAGATGCATTTTTAAAACATGGATTTTGAATTATTACCAATTAAATCATTTTTAATACTATAGAAATGGCACATAATAACAAGTATAATATTATAATTAATTTAAAAGTTGAACAAATTATTTTTATTTTCAAATTTTAGTCGTATAATATTTTACCATGTATCAATTATTGTGTGAATAAAATATCGAACATGTAGATGGGAATTTAAGTTTAAAATTAAATACGATTAAAATGAGTTACCTATCTATGTATAAAGAGTAAAATAAACATTATTATTGGTTATTTAACCCATCATATTTTGATTAATTAATATTATAAAGTAAGGTACCCAAAGTGGCACAACGCTGTTTATGATGTATAATTTGTTTTTTAATTATTATTTTATAATATTACTAAAAAAATGTAGAATAATAACAGAACAATCTTACTTGAACCAACTCGTAGATTTGGTCACAGTCATCAATCATGGCTGGACAGATGACGAAATTAACTTGTGGGACGCCTTCTACTAATGATTCCATAGCGCATAATGCTTTTACTCGGCTCATTTTGTTTTATTAAAGATAAATTAGACTTGTTTGATGATTTATATTTAAAATGGCGAGCTTAATGCTGATATTGAATATTTATAGTTATAAATAGGTATAGTATATATATTTTATTATTAATAAAATATTAAAATACCTATATTATATTGTATTTATTTATTATATGTGTTTTGCATATGTAAAATAATTAATTCAAATGAAAAAAAAAAAAATGAATTGAACTAAGTATATGAATTTGTTATAATTTACAAGTCTTATACGTTGACTAGACGTTACCTAAATGAAACATTAATTTTGAAGTATAACCTTATATATTTTGTTCGCGCGCTAACTATTTATTTAATGGATAGTTAAACAAAATAATATCAAGAGTTAACATTGAGATAAAAATGCGCGCTTGACTGGTGTACAGAGTGGTAGAAAAAATAACTTTTTTTGATAACTCGTTTGTTATCCGGTAAATTCATCTTGACTAATAAGATAATATATTTATTACGTATATATACGATAGATAGTTGCATTTGAAATTTTTAAAGTTTTTTACCGTTGTCTCTTATTTGGATGTGATTCACATTCGTTTCGATGTTGACGGTGAGGTTTTAAATCTATAATGTTTAATTAACCATATTATTATGATTATATAATTACCTAATTTTAAATAAAGTATTTAATTAGACTATAGGTAGATACTAGGTATAGTATTTAGTCTATATTAATCTATATTATAAAGTACATTTTCATCGCAAACACTTCATACTTTTACGTTAGGAATCTATTACAACAAAATAATACCGATAAAAATATTTTTATTTTTAAAAATTATGCGTCGTATCAGTGTGTTTTTTAACATTTTTATTCTTGAAATAGAACTATGACGTGTAGCTTCTGTACCTACCAAACTGAAGGTACAATATAAATCTATTTTTATTTTTTTTAACTCATTTTATTTTTACATATTTATATGTATCATTATAATACTATAACATAGGTATTTATTTCGATGATCTCCCGTATAATAAAACACATTAAATATTTAAATTGATAAGGTATACTTAATTCGGAAATACTATCGTAGAATACTATAATGTCATGAACTATTGGACATTTGTACTCATTATAATATTGTATTAAAATTTAAAACTAAAATATCGAGAGAAAAAATTGACGTACGATGACCAAGCCTATGTTACGATTTAATTAATTAATAATAATAATAATAATAATAAGTTAAATCTACAATTAACTTTTAACTAATTTTTAACCTAACTTGTGGTTAGGACATTAAACCATGAAATCGAGTGAGATTTGATKCTATCAGTCGAAGATGGTGTAGAATTGTTTAGTGTTGTTAAAAATTAATTTTGTTTTGATAATATAATGGTATTACAATTTTAAAACCCATAATCGACGAAAAAATCTTTATAATAATTTTAACGATTGTAAAATGTTTTGATACTAAACATGTTTGATGTTATTCAAATTCATTTTTTGTATTAAGGTACCACAATTCCGAAAGTTTTAAATGCAAAACAGAGTGATAGAGTTTGCATATTTGTCTCAAACAAATGAGAAAAAAGGTCATTGGCAAAATATAAAGTGCTAATTCAAACTATTTATGATTTTTAAATAAATAAAGAGGTAGGTACTAAAAAATGAATATAATTATATAATATATATTGATAAATTATCTAGGTACTATTGAGTTAAGAACAAATGAAGAACAGCTAGGATACAGATCGTATGCAGTCACATAATAATTAGAAGTATTCTCGTATGAACGACAAAAATAAAAAAGTACAGGTAAATAATTATTATACCTATGTCATTAAAATAAAAAAGACACACCACCATTACAATATTAGATTATTTAGATTTATTAATTACCTATATTGTTTTGTAGTTTGTAAGAGATAGTGGTTCCGGTCGCTAAAATATTGATTGTATAAACAGGTTATTCTGAGTCCTGATTACAATATTTATAACTATTTATTAAAGTATAATTCYAGTAATAAGTTGTTCATATCATAATAAAACAGTAACCATATTTTGACACATTATTTTGCGATGAAATTACCTACTTTAATACCTTATAAGATTTTGAAACAAAAAAAATAATGATAAATTTAATTTAAAAAATTAAATAAACTGATAGTTGTTGATTTGCAATATGTTCAAAAAAATCGTGTAGATTGGCTAGTTTGTGTGACATGATGTCATAATAAGAACAACAGTTGTATGATTTTAAAAGATTCAAGACTTACAAGTTACAGAGATAATTTAAATGCATGATTAAAATAAAACGCACAGAGGTAATATTATTACAATTAATTTAAATTTTACTGTATAATTGTATATTATATAATGATTATTTTAATACTCTCAACATCAAAGGAAGTATCGAAATTCTTATCCAGTCATAAAACCGCCGTCTACATATAGATTCACACCATTTATCATTGCTGAATAGTCGCTCAATAAAAATATCACTGCATCAGCAATATCATTAGGTTCTGGAAAATAAATTATCAATTAGTTTATATTATAATAATATATAACTCCTGCATACAACAATAACAATATAGGTAGTCCTTAATAATAATAACACAAAATGTCACAATTGTGAACAAATAGGCACGTAAATATTTTCACTAACGTGCAAATCTCCCTAATGGTATTCTCTTCATAATCGGTTCTGATTTTTTCGGATCCGACCATGCTTTTAATCCCATATTCGTTAATACAACAGTAGGATTAACATTGTTTGTCCTTATGCCAAGCGGTCCTAATTCTATAGCCATTGTCTTTGTAATTTGGTTCACTGCTCCTTTAGATGCACAATATGAAACATGTTCTGGTATGGCTCTCTAAAAAGTAAAAATTATATTTTTTTATTTGTAGCCATAATGTATTTGATGAAAAATGTTAAGAAAACAAAATGTTTTCTGAACTGACTACTTGGTTTTTACAAGTAGCAACTGTATAATTATAGGCAATGTAAAATTTAAATAGTACAAATCATTATCAATATAAGTAATAACCTCAGATATGGTTGAAGATATATTGACTATTGATCCTTTGATTTTTBCAGCAATCATATTTTTAGCTACAGCTTGACTTGCCCTTACCACTCCTCTGGAATTTATGTTTAGTGTACTAGAAACCAAAAAATTATTTATATTATAAATTCAAACATTTATTAATAATATTAGACTTTTAAAATTGTAATGTGAAAAATGGTTATAAAGTAACTCAATAGATAATAACTAGGTACCTATACTATAGAGCTTGGATGTTTATAAATAAGTATAACCAACCATTAATAAAATAAGTAGATACTAAGCACAGACTAAACTAATGTTCTAGCTTTACTTCTCAACACTTATCAAAACATTAATTACTTCGAAATAATTAGCTTTATGTCCAGTATTTAATATATGTATTACTGTATTTTATTTTCCATTAAAAGATCATGGACTTGATACCGTATAAATTGTTTTTCAAATCAAATATAAAAGCCTAAAAATATATAGGTAACTATTATGTAAAAATTGAAAATGCTATAAAAAAAGTTTAAATGTTTAGTAGTATTACATTTAATTTTAATTTGATCTTGGGGCGTATCGTATGTGTATTAAAATAATTATCCCTTAATTGGTTCATTCACTTCTGTGTTAAGAAAATACAATAATTTGAAAATGTCTACCAATTTATAGACATTCATTTTGGGTATATAAATATACGAATAACTTATAGCTTATCGTCTTATTTGCTAGGAACGTGCCTCTACTATAGAAAATCCTAATTCCCTTTTTACAATAATACAAAAAGTTAATCTGTATTCATACTCATCCCATCCGTGTTGTGTCGTCTCCATAAATGGTTCAATGTGAGCCACTCCAGCGTTGTTCACTAAACCATGGACGGGCCCCATTTCTAAAATCTTACTATATGTCGAACCCCAATCACTAATATCCACGTTTACTTTGGTAAATTTTAGATCAGGAATGCTCGGTAGAGTATCTATATCCCTTCCGATTGCGAACACATGTGCGTCCATCGCTAACAATCTTCCAGTAATCACTTTTCCCATACCTAAAATTAATGAAAAATAATAGTTTATCATAGATGCATAGTTACATTTATTTTTCATTTTTAGTGAGAAATGGTCAATAATGAATGCGATTATAATAAGTTTATTTTAATGTATAAACAGGTCTGCAAAACTATAAATCTAGAGACTTGTATTAAATTTAAGACAATATTACCAGCACTGGCTCCAGTCACTATAAAGCTCTTGCCTTTGAAATATTCTTCCATACTCGAACGTTTTTCAACAATACTTCTGGACAGAGTTCCCATAACGCAACGGTTGTTCAAATGTGTTGATAACTTGTTGATAGAGCGAAACATTTTGATACTTTCTGTTCTTGAACTAAAAAAAAAAAAATATTATAAATTGAAAAAGTGTATGAGATAATGGCTTGTTGGATAGTAGATGTCATGTGAAGTGGTATCTCGTTATTCTTGAATAAGTCACTATAATGCAATAATGTATAATATGTAATATGTGGATATGTGTACAATTTGAATTAAATGATAAATCATTGCAACGAAAAAAAATTTTAAGCAAAGGCGCCAAAGGCGGTCTATCTTATCAGCCTATATTACTATTAGGATATTTTATGATATATTTATTTTGCTATATATTTTATAGTTTTTTACTAACTCCCAGCAATCCGGCAAGTTGAATTTATTTTCTGAAAAAATATTGCATTCATTATACTAATTAAATATTATAATAGTAGGTTTCAAATGTTTCAATATATTATTGTTATTAATTTTTGACTTTTGAGTTAAGATCGACTACCGTAGATTTGTGGTAAAATAGGCAATATATCTTTACAATAATCTATATATTTTAAATAATATGTAATTATTGTGTTTTAAAAATATAATAAAATACGTTTAAGTCCCCACGAATAATATATTTGAATTACAACAAAATGATTAAAAACCTTTTTTCGTATATAAATAACATCTAATTGAATTTAAATGTCAAAAAAAAAAAAAATGGTACTGCTTATAAAGTTAGAAAAATTTATTTTTATTTTTATTTTTAAAAGAAATATACAATCTATACAATTAAGCTCAATAAGTATATGTGAGATTAGGTTAACAAAACATTATGAGGTGACGTGAAAAGAAGCCACCCATCAGTAGTACTTAGCTTGTTTATTATGTGATTCTTACAACTTATTAGGATTAAGTTAGATTATTCCTACACCATTTCCTTTTCAGCCTGCGACGGGGATTTACAGGAAGTAACGGGATATGTATAAGCATTTTATTAGATGATTTTCATGATTTTCTAATTTATTATAAAATCGTTTATAGAAAATAACAGCTTCTTCTTCTACTGTTTTTATACCTGCTTATAAATATTAAGATTTTTTTGTTTCAGAATGATCTATTATCATGAGGAACCTTKAATTAAATTTTCAAGACTATACTATAAAAACTAAACATTAAAAAAAATTTTTTTAATATAAATTAATTAGTAACTTTTCGTGATTTTGACAAAATTTTAACTTCAAATGCTTATAAAAAATCGTGCCCTTATATTTTAAATTGCTTAAAGAACTACTTATGATGATAGCTCATACAATTTTTAAGTTTTTTTTAAGGATTCCGAACATTTTTATCAAGACTTGTACATCAATATGTAATTTGTGCACATCTAGATAGATTAGTTACCTAATTTTATTTATTAAAATTATCTTTTTTATTTATTTTGTCAACCTTCATAATTATAGATGCATTCCTGTGACTACAGTTATTACTTATTAGTCTTATCGACATGATAAATAAAAATAAAAAGTTAAATAAGCTAGGGTCTAAAAAAATTATAAGGTTTTCATATAAAAATAAATACGTATTAAAGTTTTAAGTTATTTATTTTGAAGATATCTACGTAGATAAGAAGTATTCTAGTTATTTGTTTCCGCCCAAAAGGTTTTGCTCAGACAGCAATATCGGTATATATGTCTTCTATATGTCTAAATGTATGAAGCTATCCTTTATTACTATTACCCAAAAAACATCATTGTAAAACCAACACATTTCCTATTTTGTTAAAAAACTTAAATAAAATTCAATGTAATAGATGCATTTTATTGATGTACTTACTTATAAAATATTTTTTAATTCAAAATGTTTCATTTTAATACACAGTTTTAAACATTAAAAAAATTAACATGTGTCTATAATAAAATTAGTATGTAAGTTTACAATACATAATATTATATTAAATCCTCATAACTTGCATCAAAATAAAATATCGAAAAAACTATCCTACCTATTTACTTGAATGAATAATATTTTTTTAATAACCATTTTTTCTTAATTTTAACCTAAATTCTGGTAATCCGTTATGATGGAAACGACTTTTTCTAAATTACGTGCATGATCTATGGTGACAATTAATAAGGAACCCATTTTTATGAACATTGTATCATATTGAGGGAACACATTTTACCGTTTAAATACCATTTTTACAAATCTTTTTCTTTCTTTTTGKARAATCAGTGTTTTTGGAAACCGTTTGGATGTTAACTACCCATCACTCGGATGTAGGTAATATAAATTTAAATAATATAAGACAATAAGTCTGTAATAGAGTTTAACGTCAAACCGGATCGGAAATTCAATCGAACGTTTTGTTTAAAAATTGGCAAATTGTTTAAAGAAAACGCTTAAAAACAAAAACAACAATGTATAGATGATAGATATGCGTTATAAATTTACTGTATGCAAGACATAAGATAATAATCAAGAACTCGAAAACGTTTGTTGATTGTTGTCTATATTGTCTTAAAAGTGCTCTAGATGCATAATAATAAAAATTAAATATTATTCAGATTATTGTAAAAAAATGTACATAATTCTTCATCGGCCATTGCCGTTGTTGTTAATGGCGACGCGGCGACGGGCCGACAAGAAATCAATTTTTTTTTCATTTATTGTCTCAACTCCTACCACTACTATTATTACTATATCGATCATAATTTGGCCCCAATGACCAGAATGAATGTAAATCAAGAAAATCCCGATTTTCCGATGGATAACTTCTACCCACAGATACATGCTATACAATTGATTTTCTTCATCTCGCCGCGAGAATAATAATTGTTGTATTATTACCAATATATTTTTTTCACCTACAGTCAACCATACACAAATAAGTGTAATATTATAAATATGTTTATTTAAATCTCTATGCAACCAACAAACAGCCCCGGAATGTAACACATTCCTTAAATGATAAGAAAAACGGTTATTCACCGTAATGAAATAACCAACGAACAAAACGGAAAAAGAGAATTCGCGAAGTCATACGTAAAAAATAAATAGTATCTGTACTTATTAGTTATTTAATATAATTATTCTAAATTGTATCATAGTATATTATATGGTACCTACTTATAATAATGTGCCACGAATGTTGAACTATCGTTTTTCCAACCGACTAATATAGAATATTGGTGAACAGTTATTAAACTACTTTTAAATAAAAATTACGATATATGTATTGTGCATGCGTTTGATGATGATATTATTATGTATTTTATTCACACTGGCACACYATAGCGGACATATTTAAAAAAACTGTGTGTGACCAAGAGAAGCGACGACTYGAGAACACTACTGCGACTGCGAAGAACAGACCACTTGTATCGGAGAGTACGTATAATAATATTATTACGAGTAGATGCGACTACCGCACTACATGGCACTACTCTTGTCTTTGTCGAACGTTGTTTCTACGGTCACCGTAGCGACGACTACAATAAATTGTCCAAACCTGCAGGTATTATGTAACGGGTCGGATTCCTCGACCCAGAGTGTCGGCTGTTCYGAGCATTGAGGTTATGTGCGAAATTCAAATTTCGAACTCCTCCTTCATTCTGGGTATCAGACAATTTGAACCGAACAGTAGGTAGGGCATATTTCTTAAAAAATTAAATTTCGTATCCCCGAGACTGCAGTAGACGATTGTTTCGATGTTTAATCAAATAACCTTCGATCATAATGCACATATTATTACATACAGCATTACCCCCGGCGAAATCTATAATATCTACAGGAATTAGGCTGCAGGTCCTAGGAAAGGCCTGAAAAGTATTTTCTGGTCGGGAAATTATGCGCCGTCCAAGTTTTTTCAGTCACATTTTTTTCCATGCAACATGGGAGATGGCGATTGAACTTTAGGAGCTACAAAAATTGTACCTATTAATACTTATTTTTAATACACACCCTTAAAGGTCGAGTGACTGTAGGAAATTCGCTTACTAAAATTTCGAAAACTATAGTAACGAATATTTTTTACAAATAAATGTTTTATAATAGTGCCTATATCAATAGCTGGCAGTTTTCAAAGCCAATGGTAAACCTAATCTCACAGTACCTYTTCCTATGGGTTTTGTTCGTATATTCGATATTATGATAAATATTTCGTAATTAAATTTCTAATTTAGTATAATATAATAATTTAAGCGTAAGGCCAAGGATGATAATTTTTATTTTTATATTTTAAACCAAGCCTTGCAAAAATGGTCARCAACTAATGACACAARTTTATAAATAATACCGAAAATRTTCGCAATGAAAACCTGCCGGTAGCTTAAGTTAGTATTATTTAAATATTTTTAATTGTCCTTGTAATTACAACAAAAGTGCCTTTCTTATCAGTCAAAGTAGCAAGAAAATATTTAAAAATAAGACCTATTTAAAAGTCATTATTATTACAACATTATAACTAACTATAGGTATGTATTATGTATTTAGTATAACAATTATAATAAAATATTGATACCTTTAACCTAACTGATCGCATTTTTAGTCAATCTTCAGTTATAGGATTTTTTTCCAAAAAAAGCTTAAAATATTTATTAATTTGTATATTTTTCATAAATATTACCTATTGTATACTTAAATTATGTAAATGACAGTTAAATTTAATATTTTAATAACCGCAATAAAACAAAAATATGCTTAATTTGTTATTGATAAATGATAACTGCTTAAGTACCATTAGTAAAAAAAAAAGTATTCATTACTATAAAAGAAGATAGATTGGCCCAAAGATGAAAACTAGGTAAAAGGTGGTACCATAGGTACTTCAAAATAAGATTAAAATAGAATCAGATTTCTAAACAATTTTTGAATAATAACAAATTATTCCATGTATTCAAATAAACAATTTTATGGGYAGGTTTTGAAATTATTTATCTTCTCGGGGGGCTAAGTCTTATAACTTTGACTATTAACCCAACTAACTTCAATAATATAAACGTCATCTCATCACTTATAATTATATATACTTAGGTCTAATTAAATCAATGTTAATTTTGAATTTTGATTWAAATATAAAAAATTAAATAATCAATAGATAATAATATTATGTATATTTTATGATATCGATTCGAAACGTTTTTTTTTGAAAAACATTTTAGTTTTCCGGTGAGCCAACCTAAATGTTTCTTAAAATTATAATAATAAACCACGACGGTCATATTATTATATTATGACCTCTAAAATATCTTTACTAGGAGGTCTGTGTTTAAATACCATATCGAGCTATCCGAAACCCTATACAATACAATATGTTATATACAATATAATTATTGTCAATTACGGGGAAAATGTTTTTCAAACATTTAGACCTTCTTGTCAACGTTGTACTGAACACAGACAAAAAAGGTACAAAAAAAAAAACAGTTCAATTGTCCAAAATGATTGGTAGATAAAACGAATCGGATAACATATTATATTATATACGACCCAACTGTTGTGTAAAATATTAGATTAATGTTTTGTTTGTCGAACACAAGAAAACTGTATGCCATATTTTAGCACGTACCTATATTTCATACAGTTATAGTGGCATAGGTGTTCTAAAACTCGGTTATTACTTATAACTATGATTATGATTACCGAGCAGAAAACGTTTTGGGACTCGTTAGACGGTAAGTTAATATTATTATATTGCCAGTGGCGGTGGACGGCAACCATGTTATACAACGACTACAACCACAACAACAACAACAACAACAACAACAATAATAATAATAATAATAATAATAATATACTAATTGTTATCTGAAACTAAAATCGTTAGTGCACGTCGTGTGTTTATATGGGTGATAGCGATGGGGTTGGTGGTGGAGACTGATAATTAGTCGAGCGCACGTTTTAGCTAGTATGTAAAATAATAATATAATATTGAATTGTTTGTGCATGGTTAGGTGTGTATGTGTGTATGGTTGTAAGTTTCGATGGCGGACGAAATGACATAATATATTTTTTCATCCGTTCACTAGATCACAGCCATATAATATGTCCGCAATGTCCATAATCGTACTATTACATATAAATATATAATGCAAATTTACCAATCACTATTACACTGAATACAAATAAATAATAATATGTTAGTACCATTAGTACCAGTATATACCGCGATATCTTTTAGGGATTTCTTTAATCGAACTTTTTCAATAATAATAGTTGAATACAAACTTGTTTTTACGACCTAACAAAATTATACACCCACCTAAAATTTATTGTTTAGGACGATAGCCTCCCCCCTTAGCCTTAAATCCATCACTGGTATCCGGATAATTATTGTCCGTGAACGTATTGCGATAAAATCGTATCGCGACGCAGTAAAAATGTTCCAAATTTGAAAATGAAAAGTAACAAAAGTGGTTTCGCGTCGGTGATCGCCTCGCCCTTAGCTTGTTAGTGAAATTATGTTTTTATTCAT